CGAGAATCTAGCCGGAACTGTGTTTTGCTATCTGGGTGGATAGGCGTGTATCAGCAAACTAATAAAGCTCGAAAAAAGCCCTGAACTTAGCGAATAAACAGTGTTCCACCAGGATCATGTATGTCAGAAACTACAGTTTACTGCTGAACTCATCTTGTCATGGTAAAATATCACAGAAATCGAATAATAACACTTCAGTCTCCTGCCGAAGCTCAGACGCGCTGCTTTGAGAAACAGTTGAGAAACTGCTTTGTCAATCACAGCTGTAAATCACGATGACACGCCCAGCATTAAATTACTGCTAAAAACAAACTGTTTACAAAAATGAAGATCTGCACCTATTTCAGCACAATAACCAGTGCCTTAATCCACCAGAACCATCTTTCGGGACATTTTATTGCAAGTGTAATAATTTTTTTTATTTGGGCTCAAGTCTCCTTCATTAACACGGAGGAGGCGGGCTTTATGACTTGTACTGCAGCCAGCCCCCAGGGGGCGATCTAACGGCCGAGACCTTCACTCAAACGCAGGCTTGCGGCACACTTGGTTAATGTGCTCTTGCTTAGGTTTTTGTCTTGTTTCTAGTCTAAATATCTACATTTATACAACAAGGTTTTTTCTAGAAAAGCAAAAATATGGTCTTGATTTAATAAATAATGAGTCAAAATTAAGTGAGTTTTTGGTTTAAGCGAGCAAAATAATCTAAAAATGAGGTAAGCGGAGTAATCTTTAGCTTTTGAAATAATATTATATTCTTACCCCATTGACAGATTATTTTGCTTGTTTTAATGAAAACTCACTTGTTCTAAATCTCTTTAGCTTGAAGGCGTAAGACTAAGGGGAAGAGCTAGATAGCCCTTGAAACAGAGATTTTTCAGGACCACACTCGAAACCAAGAGGTAAGAAAATTTCCCAGAATACACCAGCCACAGGCGGCAGGATAGCTGCACCCGGAAGTAAGGAGATCCACAAATTAGTGTTTTCTGTCATTATTACGAATTTTAACAACAAAGCACAAGTTTTAATAAATTCATAACCGCGTTCATGTTTTACCGTCATGCTTTTAAAATTTTTAATTCAATTAAAATAAAAACAAATCTATAATTCATAATAATAACTCCTGTACAGCAGTCCCACAACATTCTGACACTCGAACACCCTGTCAGAGAAGTCTAGTGGCTGAGAATGCGCTGTTTACAGTGTCTGCTATAATGTTAATGCTGTTTTTGGTGTGGTTACTTTGATAAATATGGCACAGTACAGTTACGATCTTACCGCCACAATATATGGCCATTATGACATGATATATGCCTTCAGTGATTTCCTGAAGATCAATACCCAACAAATAACACAACTGGAATCACTACAGCAGTCGCCATCGTCTGATCTCATATGAAGCAAGAGATCACGATGACATATGGTGACGTTTGCAGGTGCTGTAGTGCTGTTCCAATTCTTAGGGGTAAATTTTGCAGCCCTTCCCCTTCACACTCTGTTTCAAGGGCCAAGGGGAAGGGATACAAAAATAGAATTGGGATTGGGCTTAAATAATTTGAATGTAATGGAAAATCTGCCATCTCAAGGCATCTCTGACGCAGCTTCCAATCATCGTCAATGTAGTGCAAAGTAATAACAAAGGCAAACAAAGTGGGGTCATATGACTACACACGCAGCAGGAAATCCATACACACTCATTCACACACACAAACACTCATACACTACGGCCAATTTAGTTCATCAATTCTCCTATAGCGCATGTGTTTGGACTGTGGGGGAAACCCACGCCAACACTGGGAGAACATGCAAACTCCACACAGAAACGCCAACTGACCCAGCCGGTGCTCAAACCAGCGACCTTCTTGCTGTGAAGCCACAGTGCTAACCACTGAGCCACCGTGCCGCCCAAATTGCATAATGAAATGTGAA